CACTAAGATTGGCCACCCCTTACAAGGTGCCGCCCCAAGCTTGTGCTTGGTCAACTGGTGGCTGGAGCCAGCCCTGATTGTTGCTTTAGTTCTGTAAATGTCTTTGCTTTGTAAAGTGTTTGGGATACAGCTTGTTTTAATGACTTGGGTATATCTACACTGCAATCTGAGGTGTGACTGCAGCACGGATAAACATACCTGAGCTAACTTTGATCTAGCTAGCTCGAATAACAATAGCAGTGAAGTCGTGGGCACATGGACTGTATAAGCCTGCACAGGACCCTGGGCGGAGGCTTGCCTGAAATTGTATTTGTATTGCCCTTTTTCACCATCTGGCAATGAAATGATCCTCTTATCACAAGTGAGTTTCTTTCTGATTTCCCCTGTGCATGCAGTCCATTACTTTGTGAATAATCCTAACACAGAATGATCAGACGTTATTCATTCCAGTTTTATTTTATAAAGGACCTTTTTGCAAACTTTTAGTTAGATGGAGAAATACCTGTGGATCGTAGATTTCGCAGGATATTCTGACAAACTGATGTTTATCAATTTGACTGTCCATTACAGAGCCTTTGCAGAGACCAGTGTGCTGGAAAAAGAAATGGCTAATTAGGACAAGTGAGCATCAAACCACATTGCATCACTAATATTTAGAGGTTAAGATTGTAAAATAGGAGATTATGAAAGTCCAAACAGATTTAGCTCCACAAATACATTTGCATAGATGTATAGTTAGTGCAAACTTTTGATTTTTGTGCTGGCAAAGTTACCTAGGAGGACAGATTTCCCAGATTAATTTTTTTATCTCTGAGTAGGATTAGATGACATGACGGTAAAAATGCTGACAGCTGCCTATACACCATCTACACTGACTCTGATGTTATTACCAGTATGGAAATGCTTTGGTGATAGGGGACATTTTCAGAAAATGCCATTAGAGGCCAGGCCTATAAAAGAGTATTAGATTACAGTTCTCAGAGAAAGAAATCTCTCTTCACACTGATCAAGGAAACCTTGGTAGAATACTGATAATAACAACTGTGGGCTTGTCTACATGGTGCCAGAGTCCCGACTACAGGGGTCTGAACTGTAGAGAGTTCTAACGTGCTGCCCTCTAACTTCCTTATGTGGATCCTGCTGGTGTGAACTAAAAGGTACATAGTGCATGTGAATGTAGTCCTGTTTGGAATGAGACGACATCAGTGCAAACTAGCTGCCTTTTCGTTCATGCCAGCAGGCAATGAGATCATAACACATTAGAGCTCTCTACAATTTACACCCCTGTAGTCTGAACTGCAATGCCATGTAGACAAGCCCTAGATTTACACATGCTGGTAGGGAGCACAGTTCTAGGCCAAGGTTAAGAGAACAGAATCGATTGGCTAATGTGCTAATTTAACCTTTCCGATGTCTTCAAGTTCCTTCCTCTAATTTCTAAAGGTTTTCTATATTTGACTTCTTGAGCACAATGTACATATATTTGTGTGTATCCTTTATACTTCATTATTTGTGGCTGTTTGTACTGAAGAAGCCCTTGAGAACTAATAACTTTTGCAAAGCACTAGCTACTCTGCTCATTCTGTACTGTATTTTTCTGTGCCATTCATGTTCATACACTTCTGGACAGTTATCCAGAATTTTATCGGGGATACTTGTCTTAAACGGTAAACAATTTGAACAGAAACTGTTTTCAGTTCTGTGTTTGTCCTGCCCCTAGCACAATGGGATCCTAATCCATGACTGGAGCTCTGAGGTACTACATTAATATAAATAATAAATAATAATCATATATAGGGCTTGATCCAAAGTCCAGTGAAGTCAATGAAAAGATTCCCATTGACTTCCGTGGGCTTTGGATTATGTTCATAAAGAAGAAAAACAGAAGAAGATATGCAAAATGCTTAATGCAAAAATCATAATATCCACAAAGTTATGTATTTTTGCAAACAGAATTACTTACAGCCAATTCAGGTGAGAGGGGCTTGCACTTGGAGACCTCAGCAACGGATTCACTTTTGGAGCAGGATGTCTCCTGAATTGTAAATTCTACAAAGTGTGAAGGACCAACGACCCACTGTCAAAGTTTTACATGAGAAGAGAGAGAGAGAGAGCATTGACTGTTATTTTTAGCCTTTGCAAATTTACCAGCAAGAGGAAAAGAAATTCATAATCCCAATCCTGCACCTTTTGCATTGACTGCAAAACTCCCATGAACAACAGAGGGAGTAGGGTTAGACTTCTGAGTTTGTTAGCTGTATTGCAGTAGAATATATTTTCCATATTCACCGAATGCTGTCCTACAGCCTGATCCTTACCTTTTATACAGAATTCCCACTGAAGTATCACTCTAGCTCATGCATCAGCCAAAGCTGAAACTAGATTAAAATGCTTTTTTTCTTTTAAATACTATTAATAATTGATATTTACACAGAGACTTTCATCCAAAGATCCTCATTGTGGCTCAACCAACATTTTATCTATAGGTATCACTTGACCCTGTCCTGAAATGCAGCCACTTCTGGGTTGGAAAATGGAAAAATGTAAACAGCACACAGTGTGGCATGCAATCTGCACAAAGTCAGACTAAGATGATCATGATGGTTCCTTCTGACCTTAAAGTCTATGAGTAACACTACACAACTGTTACAGACAGAGAGTGAAGACTATCCAGTTGAAACGAATTTTAGAGAGGCAAGATATAATTGTGAGGAACACATGGAATTTAGCCAGGACACTGATAATTAGCACCTCCTCACTGTGCAATGATATTTTTAATTATGTTTAAGCTAATTTGGTGAGTTGCAGCCTCTATGCTACACTAAATACTTTATCAGCTGGGCCTTTTGTTAGAGGTAGGCCTGAATCCAAAGCCCAGGGGCAAATTGCCAGCAGGGACAATGAACTATGGAGTTCAAATCTAGATCTGAATTTTGTAACTGGCTCGTCTCTCTAGAATAAGATGAATCAAAGCCACAGATCTACACAGCCTCAAACTTTGAAGGGTTCAGAATCCTATCCTGAACCAACTGTTGGTGCTCAAGCCCATCTTTGCACTTGATAGAGCAACTTGTACAAAGTGCAGCAGTTGTATCAATGCTTTCCAGGGCCTAAAGTGGGCTGTATGAATCTCAGCCTTACCTGCATTGAAGCTTTGGTAACGTTGAGGACAGAGAAAGAATGAGCGTGCTCACTTTCCTTGTTGAATTTGGCCAGGCTTACAACAGCAGTTTCCAGGTACTTGGGCTCCGTTGGACAGCCAGGGAGTGGACAGTCAGGGCAAATCCTTAAAAATGAACTTGATGGAACTTGGTTGAAAATAACAAATACACATTGATAAGATAGGTTTCAAAACACTACAGTCCCGTTGACAGATATAGGTAGGTAGGCAGGTTGATGTGCCTATTTCGTGCTTATTTATTTCTTTAGGGTTTCAAGCCCCAGCCCCACACATGCCCTTGGTATTTCACACAATTTCAAACAACAATATTTGATACAAGCTTATAGCCATTGACCTAGTAATTGAACTGTCATGTGACACCCCCCCCCCCAATCAACCCCCACAAATCCACCACATCAGCTCGCCCCCTCGCCAAACACTGTCACTCTGGGCAGTGGTTCTCAACCTATTTACCATTGTGGCCCACATATGCAGCTCTCTATGTGTTATGTGGACTGCATCTACACAATACATTTACTACCAGTATGGTCCTGAGAATGTCACATGGGCTGCAGCTGTGTGCTGATTGGGCTGCAAGCAGCCCCTGGGTTGAGAACCACTACTCTGGAGACTGATGGCTTTTGCCTCAGAGTTCCCCACCCCACTGCTTAGAGAGAGGTCGCAATGGCACAAAGGGCTCAGAATCCCTGCTCTGCTTAGCAGCCAGCCAAAGAAAGCCCTTAAAATGTGCAGCTCTGGCCAGGAAGGGGCATATAGCCAGAGCACCCAGAGGATCTAATTGGCAGTCTCCATCACCAAGGCTCCCTTAGAGCACCAGATGCACTTTAAAGTTTATTTCTCCTCCTGGAAACCACAGAGAAGATAGTGGTGCAACACCACATGCATTTCCCTTGGGGATGCCTCCCATGCACCCCACACATACACACCATCTCCCCTCACAGAGGGCTGTGGTCCCTGCTGGCAATTTGCACCCCCTGCATCAATGGGGGCAAATCAAACCCAGAGTTTGTAACTTATTGAGAAGTGTCAATAGATGAGCCCAAACCATAATGTTCAGCCCCTTATAGACCTAGGAATCAGTCGTGAGATCTAGATACAGACACTGGCAAAGATCAGGAGTGTTTATATCTGTGGTTTTGGCTTGGACTCATCTCTAGTGTGGAAAGTCTATCAGGGCAGATGCTCCAAAGGGAACCAAGAGACTGGGAAGTAGGTCTCTCCAAAGGCTCTTGTGGCATCATCCTGGTGGATTTCCCGCAGAAAAATGAAAATGTGAAAAACACCCCTGAAGAGAGTGACATAAATGGGAGTTTTGCCTGAACATGGGTGAAGGATCCCACCTACTTTTGTTTAGCAGAAGCATCATGAAATAACACTAATAATTTGGGGGGAGTTTGCTATCCCATGTCCATTGCTGTCCCATGCCATATTGATTACCAGAGGATACATGCTGGAAATAATAATAATACATTTCATTTTTCTGCAGCATGCTAGGTGCTTTGCAGAAATATTCAATAATCTCAATTGAAATATTAGAAGCAATGTGTCTAGTGGTTAAAGCAGGAAACTGAGAGTGAGGAGAAAAGGGTTCTACTCCCAACTCTGTCACTAAGTAGATAAATTGCTTTGTCTCTCTGCTTAGTCTCTTTCCCTAATGGTAAAATTGGGATTATGATATTTAGCTGCTTTTGTAAAGCATTTGGAGGTCCTTGCATGAAACGAACTGTGAAGATGCAAAGGAATTGCATCATATTCAAAGTGCCATGCCAAATGCACATGTAAAAAGTCTTTCATCCTCTTTTCAGTTCAAAGTCAGAACCTGTCTAGTTATGTTGGTCCTAAAAGTCCTCGAGATCAACAGCTTGTATCATTCTGCCCTGAGAAAGAGAGGCAGGGCAGATGCCATTGAGAGGAAATTACCATGACACACCATGATGCCATTTTTAGTCACTTCTCAGAGTAGAGCCACATTTTAAGTAGAGCCCTGCACGGATACAAAATTTGTATCTGCATCTGATCCATGATCCACAAAAATGGCCCCTGGATATTCATGGATTTGCTGGGCTCTTTCTTTAAGCATTAAGAACATAAGAACCGCTTATTAATTTCATTTGGTGGCTCCTCGTTCTTGTGTTATGAGAAGGAAATAACACTTCCTTGTTTTCTTTCTCCACACCAGTCATTTTATAGACCTCTATCGTATGCCCCCTTAGTTGTCTCTTTTCCAAGCTGAAAAATCCCAGTCTTCTTAATCTCTCCTCATACAGCAGCCGTTCCGTACCCCTAATCATTTTTGTTGCTCTTTTCTGAACCTTTTCCAATTCCAATATATCTTTTTTGAGATAGGGTGACCACATCTGCACGCAGTATTCAAGATGTGGGCGTACGATGGATTTATATAGAGGCAATATGATATTTTCTGTCTTATTATCTATCCCTTTCTTGATGATTCCCAACGTTCTGTTTGCTTTTTTGACTGCCTCTGCACATTAAGTGGATGTTTTCAGACATCCACAATGACTCCAAGATCTCTTTCTTGAGTGGTAACAGTTAATTTAGACCCAT